TTCACAGAGCTTTAAGTGGGAAAACCAGGGTTTAAAACTCAGACAGCCTCACTCCAGAGCTCACAGTCTTAATCCCTGCATTGTGTCCATGAGAAATGACCAACATCCATGAGCAGGAAGACTAAGGAAGAGGAACACAAGAATGAATGGGAGTGAGATGGGGATGGAAAACAGCTGAGCCAATGCCAGGCCCCATGCTTGGCACACCTATCATCTCACTGAATCCTCACAACTACTCTAGAAGGTGTTAATACGAAAATGTGAGTGAGTCTCAAGTCAGACTCATCTGAACCCCAAGCACAGACCACTGTAACCCACTGTGGTATGGTCCTCACCTTCTGTTGGAGGCCACCGGGATCCTCCAACCCTTGATCTGGCTCAGCTCTGTGTCTGAGATCTCAATCTGCAAGGGGAGTCGGGGCGCCCAGACAGTGATTTCCACCTGGGAGGTGAAGTGCTGGTAGGTGAACTTCACTATTGTGTCCACTTTACTCTTCATTTCCTTCCCATTCACGAAAATGGAGTCACAGTTGTTGGAAACCTTTGGGGAAGAGAGAGAACCATGAGATGCACTAGAAAGAAAAGCACAAGCAAAACCTAACAACAGCAAAGCATGTGAGCAGCGACAGTTCTAATTTATTAAAACATCAGGATGACCACAAGAACATGACTCCCATAAAAGAGTAATTTGTAGGCACTAATTAGTGACAAATACTGATAAACTGACTCCAGAAAAACCATTTTGTTACAAAACTCTGACAAGTAAACCCGTAAACATAATTTAGTGGAGTTATACAACCTCTGTTGCTTTTGCGATGTGCTTTTTCTTTATCTTACCTTTTTTCATGAACTCAAACCACCACCAATCAAATCCCAGGTGCAATTTGTTTCACTCTGGCACCATATTGGAAGATGCACAATAGGTTTTTGTTACATAAAAACATACTTAACCCAAGCCATAAAGAGGATCTTCTGAAAAATCAAGAGAGCTTTGTACTAGATTAAAATCCTGGTAAATCCATGAGGCACT